AATTCTTAATGAAAGTTTTTTTGTCGAATAAGAATTTTCATGTTACAATAGTACATGATTGATCCTTAGACTTGAGGCACGATAGTAACTTTGTGCATATTATATTCTACTTTGATTTATCCTTTTGGTTGCTAGCACAATCGTATAAAGGGCTATTTTGGGTATTATATTAATATGTATGGAAGTTTGTCAGTAGCCAACAAAGGATTCGACACTTATGAGATAAGTGAATTTCCTTTTGTGTTTCGAAGTTCGCAATTCAAAGTCCTTGGCCAAGGCAGGATGAATAGAGATTCATACATGAATTACTAAACTTGAAATGGAATCATAGTTATTAAATCAATTCGGGTTTCGACTAAATCATACCCAAGATTTAATCGGGAAATTAGATGTCGAAAGGATTTTACATGTATGGACTTGTAATGGAAAAGGTTTACTCGCTATTCACTTAATACTAGATTCATGCTACTTGCTAGATGTTCCCATGATATGTGGGTTCTTGAAATTAAGAAGTTAATTTCATGAATAAGAATTAATTGGATTAATTCAAATTACAAAGAGTTGTAAGCCCACTACTAGTATTAATAGTGAACCTAAAAGGTCACACCAATTTTTGAATGAAGGCAAAAATTAGTATTTCTAAAGAGTTAGAATTAATTGACAAATTTAATTTTGATTAGATGTCAATTAAAAGAAATATACTAAATTAATCAATTAGATTGATTAATTGTATTTTAGATATTAATTAAGTGATTAATAGAATTACTAAATTAATAGTCTGATTTTAAAATTCAAATCCAAATAATAATATGATTATTAAATGAGGAGATTTTAAATATGGGAAAAAAATTTATTTACAAATAATTTTAGAAGAGTTTAAAATTATTTGTTTATTACTATTATTATTAATTTTTAATTTAGATTAAAGATAAAATAATAATAATAATATAATAATGGATGAAGATGAGATCTTGCACCATATTATATTCTTGTTTTTTTTTTTCCCAAAACGACAGAGATAATATCATAGCACTAAAAGAGGACAAAGTCCTAATACAAAGTTCGACAATCGAAAAGGAGACATGGGAGACACACCCAAAGGTGGTCTAAAACCTCAACAAGAGGGAAATAACAACAAACCAGAAAAATAAGACAAAATATCAATATCTCCCTACTGCTAAAAGCCTAGAGAAGACACTGAAATCAACCAAAGAAGATAACAAAAGCTACTAAAATCAAATCTCAACAGACCAAAGGCAGATAAGTAGTGTAGCCAGTCTTCATGGGCAACCTTAATCACGGTTGCTGTTGGCATCTTGGACTTTTGAAAAACCCACAAATTCCTTGATTTCCAAAGCCACCAAATGATGTACGTAGAGAGTTGGATCCTAGCTTCGGCTACTTCGGAATTGTCAAGAGAACAAATTTTAAACCACCAATCTTTGAAAGAGTCTTTAAAGCACTCAATACCATCCCAAAAAACTGGAGACAAATCCCAAACTCTTACAGCTCTACAGCAATTCAGTAATGCATGCTCTATTGTTTCAGATAATTCACCACAGAGAGAGCATATATGATCAATATTGATTTTCCTTTTCTTCAGCAAGCTAGCAACAGGTAAAGTGCCTGTTATACATTTCCAAAGGAAATGCTTGAGCTTCCCAGAAACTTTAATCTTCCAGAGTCTGAACTGCACAGTTTTGCTAATAGCATTGTGAGAACTGCTTTCAGGAATATCCATTTGACTGAGTTTGATTTTGGATAGCTGTTTGTAGGCACTAGAAACAGTGAATTGGCCTTTTTTCTCCAGACCCCAATAAAGTCTGTCTGTTCTGTTTGGATTTAGAGATGAAATGCTGAGAATGGCTTCACTATCAATATTGTCAAAGACTTGCTTCACAAGCCACTCATTCCAGGCTGAGCCATCAGATGATAGAAGATCTTTCACCCTTACAAGATGGCCTCTGGCTAATGGCATAAGAGAAGGAGATGGTTTCTGAAGGTTTGGAACCAAATTAAAGTTAGCTATATTAGTGGATGCACCATTCCTCGCTTCAGTCTTCAACCATTTAGCAAAAAAAGGAATAACCTCCATCCATGAGTTTCACATCCAGGATCCTTACTGAGATTTTGAAGCATGAGTAATGGCAGACTGAGGGAAGTATCTGTCTTTAAGGAGCCTACTTACCAAAAGATTAGGGTTGGAAGCAATTCTCCAGAGCTGCTTGCATATGAGAGCCTGATTAAAAACCTGGAGGTCCAAAAATCCTAGTCCTCCATCCTCTTTTGGAAGAGTGAGCATATTACATTTTCTCCAGTGGATTCCTTTGGTTTGCTGCTCATTGGATTGCCACCAGTAATTAGCAAAAAGTTGAGAAATTTCAGCACACAGAGTTATGGGTAATTTAAAGCAAGACATTGTAAAGATTGGCAGTGCTTGGGCAACAGATTTAAGTAACACTTCTTTCCCAGCTGGACTTAGAAGTTTGGATTTCCAGCTTTGCAGTTTTCCCCTGACAGAGTGAAGAAGATACTCAAAAACTTCCTTTTTAGATTTTCCTATTCCAAGAGGCAGACCCAAATATCTAGTGGATCTGTGTGAAGTAATGCCATTGAGAGTGGAGCAAATAATCTGCTGGAGAGGCTGAGGAGTATTTTTACTGAAGAAGATTGCTGACTTGCTCATGTTAACAGCTTGTCCTGTGAAAAGTCTATATTTTTCAAGAAGAGTCATGAGAACATTGGCCTGATCAGCTCCTGCTTTACAAAAGAAAAGGGAATCGTCTGCAAATAGGAGATGAGTAAGCAGTGGACCATTTCTGGAAAGTTTAAGTCCTCTGAGTTGTCCCCTTTCCACTGAATCTAGAATGAGAGCTGTTAGAAGTTCTGCAACAATAATGAATAAGTAAGGGGACAGGGGGTCCCCTTGTCTTATGCCTCGAGAAGGTGTGACAAAGCTGTGCACAGTTCCATTTATTTTGAAGGCAAAGGAGGTGGTGGAAATGCATATCATGATCCATTTGATAAACTCCTTGTGGAAGCCCATTTTCAGCATAATGTCATGGACACACCTCCATTCTAATCTTTCAAATGCTTTGATTAAATCAAGTTTTAAAGCCATGAAGTGATTGGGTCCTGATGTGTGTCTATTTAGGAAGTGAAAAGCCTCTTGAGCAACAATTACTTTATCCATCAGCTGTCTTCCCTCCACAAAGGCTGATTGGAAATCACTTATGCAACACTTCAGACAAGCTTTTAATCTTTGAGCAAGCACTTTGGAGATGATTTTGTAAACAGTGGTACACAAGCTTATTGGTCTAAACTGCCCCAAAGTTTCTGGATTTTGACATTTTGGAATCAGAGAAAGAATAGTATGATTCCAGTAACTAAGGAGAGTACCTGATTGAAAGAAGCTGTGAATTGCATTAAGAAGGTCTGTCTTGATCAAATCCCAAAAGTGTTGATAGAAGGTTGAGGTCATGCCTTCTTCTCCAAGTGCTTTGTCTGTTGGAAGTTGGAATAAGGCAGCTTTAATTTCTTCTTCACTAACTTGCTTAATCAGTGCTTCATTCATGTCAGAGGTGATTGATTGAGGAATCAAGTGAAGGATTGAGTCACCTCCTATGCTACCTTCTGAGTTGAAGAGATTGGTATAGAACTCTGATATATGATTCTCTATAGCTTTCTGAGAGGTTAATAGCCTACCCTGAGAATCAAGCAGTCTGGTAATTGCATTTTGCCTTCTTCGTTGGAGAGTGAAAGCATGGAAAAATCTTGTGTTGGAATCTCCCTCCTTGAGCCATTTTTGTCTGGATTTCTGTTGCCAAAAAATCTCTTCTTGCAGGTGAGCCTTGTTGAAAGCTCTCTTGGTTTCTTCCCATTTCTCCCAATTCACACCAGTTTTATCATTGTTCAGGACATCAAGTTGTTGAGTAAGCTCAGCAATTACAGTCTGGTTCTTGGATTGAAAAGAAGAACTCCATTTAAGCAAAGCCACTCTAGTATTCTTGATCTTTTCTTTCAGCTTGAAAAATGGTGTGCCAGAAACTGAGATAAGCCATGCTTGTTTGACTGTTTTCAAAGCCTTCTTGCCCAATCCATCTCTTGTCAAAATGGAATCTGGATTGCTTTTATTTCTTTGGCAGTCCCAAGTCCAGTAATAGGGCAGAATGATCAGAGGAACTTCTAAGAATGTTGTGGACTGATGCATTTGGAAAGTTTTGGAGCCATTCCAGAGAGCCAAAAGATCTGTCAAGTTGCTCCTCTATTAATTCTGAATCAGCTCTATTGTTGCACCATGTGAAAGGGTATCCCTGAAACCTTATTTCCTCCATGTTCATAAAGTTTATGAATGTATTGAAAGCTTGAAGGCTGGCAGGACTTCGAGGTATCCCTCCTGATTTTTCAGAATTGGAACAGACATCGTTCCAGTCACCAATGGCAAACCAATTACTGCCCCAAGCCATTTTGTCTTGCATCAGAGTATTCCATTGCTCAGTTCTGATATTTCTGCAAGGACTCAGGTAAATGAAAATTCCCCATTGAGACCCATAAGGGGGAAGAGAAAATTGAACATCTATATAAAATTCAAAACAATGAACTTGAAGAATATTTACATCAGAATCCCAAAATAATGCTAGCCCCCCTCTGAGACCATTGGGGTCTACTAAAGCTATTCTATCAGCATAACCTAATTTCTTACCAATACATTTAACAAAGGATTTTGGTTTTTTGGTCTCAGACAAAAAAAAAGAAGTGTGGGTGGTGAGCTTTAATTAGCTCTCGCATTTGGGAAACTGTAGAGGGCCCACCCAGCCCTCTACAATTCCACACCACAGCTAACATTGACCCTTGTGGTGCCATTCAAGGCTGGCAACCTCCACCTTGTCCTTTTGAGATTTGCTTTTCTTTGCTGCTGACTGATCTTGAAGGCAATTAAGTTCTGAGGATGTATGTTCCTCATCAGTCTCTCTTGCCCTTTTTTCTTTGGTGTCTTCAACTGGAATTTGAATAGAGATTGGAGTTCTTAGTAATCTACCAGCTCTGGTTTTGTCTCTTTTCCAGGATCTCTGATTCTGGACTGCATTAGAGGCCAAGTTACTCTGGATTGAGAGTATGGGTGGTGAAGAAGAGAGTCTAGTGTCAACTTCCATTGCTTTATTGGTTTCAACAATTTGCAGAGAAGATTCACCCAAAATTTCCTGCTGAGGGATAGAGGAATTGGATGTCCAAGAGTCTTGGACTTTTTCTTTTGATCTTACTAAAGCTTGCTCAGAAATGGGGATTAGCTGTTGACTAGTTTCAGTTTGCTGAGACTGAGCATTTGGAGATGATCTCTGTTCATTTGGAGTAGTGGAGTTTGGCTGTGGAGATCCTCTGGAAGCTGAACCATTTTGCTCAAACCATTTCTGGGAATCATTGGCTTTCATGAAGTCTCCATATTGTCCCTCCTTCAAACAGTTGTTGTTTATATCTTCAATTCTTTTGGAGCATGTTCTATCAAGATGCCCTATCATTCCACAGTAGTGACAAAGGTTTAACAACTTTTCATACTTAAACCCGACTTTGGCTGCTTGATCTCCCAGTCTGATGTTGGCTATTCTTGGCAATGGCTCTTCAAGGTTCAGGGTAACAAAAAGCTTGAGAATTTTCCTTCCATGATTCCCAGAATTCGCTAACACTACATTATTCACATGCTTGAAAGCTTTGCCAATTTTCAGTCCAACTTCTGTACTAAGCCAATTCAAAGGAACATTTGTAACCTGGACCCAGATATTCAGTTCATTAAAACAAGAATGCTTGCTTGATATCCCAGTTCTCCAATCCTTAAGGACCAAGTACTGGTTTTCGAAGCTCCAGTTTATCCCATTCGAGACCTTCTGCATATCATCCTTACTTTGAAAAATAAATTGAAAGTAATTCGGACTTAGCTCCTTGATTTCCATAGGTTGCGCGAGACGCCAGATATTAGACATGGTTCTCTTGACTCCTATCCAGTTAGCCGGTCGGTCCCCAATTATCTTGCCAAAAAGGCTTCTATTGCACTCATCGGCACTGAGCTTGATATCGATTTGAGCAATGTCTATGAATTTGGCTTCATTTTCTGAAAGAGAGAATCTTTCTAATTGTTCCGACAATTCATCATCTTGAGGTCCAGCCATTATCGCTGAACCCTAAAAAGAAACTAAATGGGGTAAATAGAACGAAACTGGAACAGCTATGTTCGGAATTTTTAAAGAAAAAGGGCGCTGAAATCGCAACAACTGCAGAGGAAGGAGATTGAGGAAGATGATCGGAAAAAGGTCGCAAACACCAGAAATTGACAGCTCCCACCTGAGAGAATCACGAAATCGCTCCCACCTGAGAGAATTAAATGTGGATTTACTTCCACTAAAAAAAATTAGAACTTATTCTTGTGTTAACTTGTAGAAATGATAAAGAATTCTTTAACATTTCTTGTAAAAGTTAAAGTTGAATTTCTTTACATTTCTTGTAAAAGTTATACAAGACATATATATTTTATTCCTAATATTTTGCTATAAATATGGACATAGTTGATGTTCATAACAACTAAGTTTTTGGCTAAGTTTGAACTAGAAAAGTTCTTGTAAATCTCCTCAAATATATATTCCAATACTTGTTTGAAAAACCGAGTAGTTTCTACTAGCGAAGAAATTATCTTTTGGAGTCGGATTTCAAAAGGTGGCTACTCTTAGAGGGAAGACAATTGGATTCCTAAAGTGAGTAACAAGAAGAAGTGTTCGTTACCAAACCGGGAATTGATTTCCTCAATCATCGTCGTTTTTGAAGTAGTTCAAGAAAAAAGGTAATATTTTACTTATAACAAATCAAAATTTGTATTATTACATGTTTTTAAATGATGACGATCTGTTAATTCGCTTTATGTATTTACGGGTTGTGTATTTATATGATAAATACTTGTTTTTAAAATTTTTATTCTGCTGTGATATAGCCACGACTAGTACTGCCGGCTTGACCAGTAGTATCTAATATAGCATGTCGTACCCGACCGGTTTTTATGGATATATATTGAAGAATACGCTTTTAAATGGGCTAAGACACTTGATAAGATAATATGGGTCGAGCCCAACCTAGGCCAGGCCCAACTTGGACTATAAGGTACACTCCCCCTATAAAAAGGGGGAGAAGACACTCATTCCCTTCATCCTCCCCTCATTCCATGACTATACTCTCTCTCTCTCTCTATGCCTTCTCATATGAATCCAGTACTCACTTAAGCATCGGAGGCCCAAAGCCGGGCACCCCTCCCGGGGACTCTGGCTTTGGGTTCTTGCAGGTACAGTGGCCATCACGATTCGAGCGTTATTGACTAATTCACGATCTCTTATTATGCGACGAGCACTATAAGTATGTTTATTCAGCTCTTCTAAGAGCTTTTCGAAATTCTCGGAACGAGATCGTTTCGTCTGTTTAACCTTCGTGCTTATCCAAATATTTACATAAGGATAAGCACCAACGGGGGGACGAATAAACATGAATTTCGACTTCCATTCCGTAACATTCGAGGAAAGGTCGTCGAGAAAGGTGACGCTGGAACGACGAATTAAGCAGTGGGCTCCCTTTTGGAGTCGGTAACTATAACAATAATGAAAAAATTCGGCTGAGAAGAAACGAAGGACTATGCGAGAGACAACGATAAAGGCTATCATAATACACAAGGCGTTTGGGGAGAATTAATTTATTGGGATACTATACAGATCGCTTATCTCCAAAAGCTCGACTTGGATAGGGAAGCGGAGACCAAAAATAACTTGGTCAACAAAAAAAGGATGACAGCCCTGCGGGGGACAGGTGAAATCACTGTCAGGGCCTGGAGCAACCAACTCCCAGTCGGAGGGAAGCCCGCTAAATTGCCTAAAGCTCTCGACTTGAGCCGCAGAGGCATAAGAAAAAGGGTTTAAAGTGGCCAATTTGGCCAGAGGACAGGCTATGGATACAACCTCTCGAGAGTCGACAAGAGGAGTAATTATTGATACAGGTACAGGACTGGTTCTATATACAGGAATATCTAACAACCTAAGGGGAATACCTCGAGGAATCAAGTTGAGGCGAGGAGAATCTCCCCGGGGACTCCTTGAGACCTCTACTAAGCCACCCTCTAAAAGTGCCTGATCGTATTCAGCCCAGTCGACTTCCGCGGTGGAAGCGCGCGATGAAGAAGGAGAAGCGTTAACCATCCTATAACCAATTATCTCGACTGAGCTTGAGTCGGATTAGTCGAGGCCCCTATCGATCAGTTTGTCGAGTGTGTCAGGCGAAGAACCGGAATTGGAAGCTAGAAGAAGAAGAACCGAAAGCGAAGATCAGTCATCAAGAAACGAAATCAAACAAAGCACAATCGACTCACATAAGTCGACAAAAACACTAAGAATAAGAGCAATATGGTACAATTCGTTGGAGATACGATGGCAAGCAGACATGCGGCCAACTCGAGGAAAATACAGAAAGGAAGAAAAGGGGTGTCGATAAGAATCGACATGATAAAAGCCGACAAGCGGGTACACGCTATAACCCAGCTACATATTAACAGTGTAGCAGAATAGAGAATGTGCACGCAAGATTCAACACAAAATCTTCAAGAGAAGTTTGGAGAACACGAAGAACACGAAGAACACACAAGGGTGCAGAAAAGCCCAGAAACCCAGAAAAATAAAAGAAAGAAGGAACAATAGAGTGGTAGAGAGAGTAAAGCACTTACCCATATTACTCGTGATGGCCTGAAAATTGATTAAGATGCCGGTGCTGCGGAAAAAATCACCGGAGAAAAATCTTGAATTGCTAGATTGCCGGAGTTGCAGAGAAAATTTAGAAGAGGTGGAAAGTGTTTAAAGAAGAAGTTCAACCATACTTATAGGAGATGAAGATAGATGTTAGCCGTTAGATTAATAAGTAAACTAACGATCCTGATGAGGCACAGAATACGAGGAGTCAACGATTGACGCGACGCGCGTCACTCATAGGAATTGAAATTCAAAATTTCGAAAAGAGCGTCAGTGTCAGACTTATCTTGAGAGATAGCCATTAATAGAGAATATTTGACCCAAATAGCGAGGCATGATAACTAAGGAAAATCAAATATCCCAAAGTCGAGATAGAGTGACAACCGCCTCCTTTTCACACCGACTTTAACACGATTACTGGAATATATCGGATTTTTTGAAGTGGCTATGTAGCCGACTCAAACAGCTATGAAGTTATGAGCCCTTAGCATAGGTCAAAGGTTTATCTAGGCCAAGGAAGACAGCTACAAGGCTGTAGAAATCATTTCTCGACTTCGACCAGCTCGCAAGAAGGGTTGGGAGAAGACGACTCGAAAAACTTTGTTCAACAGCTACGAAGCTGTCGAAATCATTGCTCGACTTCGACCAGCTCGCAAGAAGGGTTTGGAGAAGACGACTCGAAATAACTTTGTTCAACAGCTACGAGGCTGTTGAAATCATTGCTCGACTTCGACCAGCTCGCAAGAAGGGTTGGTAGAAGACGACTCGAAAAACATTGTTCAACAGCTACGAAGCTGTCGAAATCATTGCTCGACTTCGACCAGCTCGCAAGAAGGGTTGGGAGAAGACGACTCGAAAAAACTTTGTTCAACAGCTACGAAGCTGTCGAAATCATTGCTCGACTTCGACCAGCTCACAAGATGGGTTAGGAGAAGATGACTCGAAAAACTTTGTTCAACAGCTACAAGGCTCTAGAAATAATTTATCGACTTCGACCAGCTCGCAAGAAGGGTTGGGAGAAGACGACTCGAAAAAACTTTGTTCAACAGCTACGAAGCTGTCAAAATCATTGCTCGACTTCGACCAGCTCGCAAAAAGGGTTGGGAGAAGATAATAAGATGAAATAAAGAACCAAACAATTAAATGAAAAACTACAGCTACGAGGACACAACAAAATATAGAAGCAGCGGAAAAAAAGAGAAGGAACATGAGTAATAAACATCATATTAAAAGAAAATTCGTTACATCCGAAACCACCTCAACCTTTACATCGAAAAATAGGCTGAGATGGCGAAAAAAGAAAGAAAGAAGAAAAAGAGCACAAAAGAAAATACAATACTATTACAACTAAAACAAAAAAAAAAAATCTAAGCCTTCTGGGAGTCGACTGTCGACTTCTTAGCGGCATCCCCACCTTCATCCCCAATCGGCTCGGTCCCAGCGCCTTGCCCCTCCCTAATCGGCTCTGTATCAGGCTGCTCAACTTCAATCTCCTCGTCGACTGGCTCTTCTTCATAATCAGCGCCACTCGGCTCAACCAACTCGACCGGACCGACCAAGAGAAGTGGGAGAACCTCAAGCTGAGAGGAGAGCTCAGCCGAATGAATAGCCTTGGCCGCAAGGCCACTCTACCACGTATGGCCAGGAGGGAGAACTGCCTCCTTGTAGCCGACGGGGTCGGCGAGAGTTAGCTTCACAGACTCCCGATCGATCTTCCCCAAGAATTCGGGCTTAGTCACAGCTTGCTCCCACGTATCGCAAGCCTAATCAAAGTATTGGACCGCCGTGGGAACAAGCTTGTCGAGATAGTCGGAGGAAGCACAAAATGCCTCGACCACAGCCTTGCGGTAATGATCGAGAAAAACTGCCCCTGGTGTGGACTTCAAGAAGGTCCGTCGACCTTTCTGAACCCCATTTTACCTCTCGACAAAAGCCTCGTCATTGGCCTTGATCAGGTCGACTCTTAGCCGTTCAGCCTTACGAACGGCCGCCTCCTTATCAGAACGGAGTTTGGCAATGATGGCATTAGTAGCCTCGAGCTCCTCTTCCTTGGCCGCGAGCTCATCACACTTGGCCGCGTACTTCTTCCCCAAGACCTTGACATTGGCTTCGGGAGAGGTCGCCTCCTCGATCATAGTCGGGAGAATACAAGGAAGAACCGATTGGAGGTAGTTGAGAATTAAAGGGGATCAGGGTTGTCGTAGAGCCGAGAAGGCTGTTGTAGGGTTACGGGATGCAATTCCACGGGGGACGACTGCCCCGCATCCTTCT